CCGATAAGTCACGATGCTTCTAGAAACTCCAGCGTGCATGCTCCCAGCGTCGCGTGACTTCCGCTGTCGTAACACTATATTATCTATTTCAATCATTGGCTATCATATACACCTCAGGTAACTATTCAGCCAGTGAAGGGCAGATGCCGAACATTCACATGAACACAATGGTCAGTATTTTTTTTTTTTTTTGCATAGAAAAAATATGGGTTTGGGCCGAACATGTGTACATGTGTGCTTCTTGTTGTCAATGAATGTTCAACCTCTGGTGTAGTAATTTCCTTGTAATGCATAGGGATTTCCTGCTCATCTACATTGAAGATATTTGAAATTAGCCTATCTTCACATCCAATGCTCTGCATGAAGTCAGTTTTCAATGTGCACTCTTAACTGATGTCAACTACTCACACATCATAATATGTAAAGAAGCTTCCTACAGTAAAAGTAACTTCTAACCATCCTTATGCTGGAACTTATGTCCACTTGCTCTTTACATCAATTCCTCTTTCATCTCTTGAGGTAATTTTCCACCTTTCATTAACCAATCGGGTAGAATGATTAAGCTGTAGAACATTGGCAGTCAACGCACTTCAGGGTTTTTTCCATCTATAAACCCATGGACTGTTAGGCAATATCCCCAAGTAATGAATGTCTTATCTCATTTGAGCAGATAGCAAATAAATCCCTGTAATAATAAGTCCAAGTTGACTTGAAAACAAAAGATTGAAATATTTTTTAAACGTTGTCCTTTTCATCTGTGCTACATTTGTAAATTAGTCCTTCAAGACTTCCTCCACAGGTGTTACACTAAACTAGGCACTTGCCCATTTCACCTTGGTTTTTTCAGCATGTTGCCACCTTTGAATCGTGTCTGACACTGGTTATCATGCAACGAACCTCCAACTACAAACTTAGCACGGAAATGCAATAACTTAAGAAATACAAATAATAAAACTTTCATGAGTCTACATTTATTTTATTTACTGTCATCTATCCATTGAACACATGACATTGACCATCTAAACTCAAGGTCAAATGTCAAATCCAATGTTAAGCAATAAAATTTCCCACTTTCCTAGCTTTATGCATGAAATTGTGTACATCCACACTGTGTCATAGGTTTCCTGTCTCATGATGCTATTTATTGTCACAGTCATTAGTGAGAGGTTGCCATGAAGAGGATGTCATGGCTCACATAATAATGCCAATGATGTGTTTGAATGTGAACAAACTCTAAGTATAACTGCTGAAATTTGGTGTTTACATTTCCACTGCAGATGCACCAGCCAAAGATTTGATCATCATTGATAAAACCAATATGTACTTGATATAGAAGGG